TGAGCAGACCGTGAGGGCGCGTCGAAAGAGCGTCGACACTACAGAGGGTTTGTGAGCCGTAGGGTGGTCTGACGAGAAGTTTAGGTAGCGACCGGTGTGCGTTGCTTTCCTGTATACTTGGAAGGATAAATGGTTCCCTGTTTTTTCCACTGCCACATCCAGAAATGGAAGGCACCCGTTAGACTCTTGGTCAACCGTGAATTGAATGTCTGGATGGATGGAATTGAGATGTTTGTGAAAGCGATCGACTTCGCTGGACTTGGCAACACAGAAGCAATCATCCACGTAACGTAGAAACAGAGTCGGTGTGGGAGAAAATGTGCTTAAGGCTTTTTGCTCGATGGCTTCCATTGTGAGGTTGGCGACAGTGACGGACACCGCGGCACCCATGGCTGTACCACTACTTTGCTTGTAGTAGCGACCAGCGAAAGAAAAGTAGGTATTTGTCAGGCACAGCTCTAGTAGCCGACATATCTCATTCACCGAGAGGTGTGTTCTTTCAGGTAGAGTCGTGTCGGCCTTGAGTGCCGATCTGACAACAGACACCGCGAGTCGAATGGGAATACTCGTGAAGAGAGATACCACATCAAATGAAACAAGGCACTCGTCGTCGTTCAACTGCAGGTCCGAAGCGAGTTCGATGAAGTGGGCAGTGTTCTTGACATGTGTGTTGGTCTTCCCCATGAGCGGAAGAAACAGACGATGGAGATAGTTTGACAGCGCTCGTAATTGCGACGTTGTAAAGTCAACTATGGGACGAAGCGGAATGCCACACTTGTGTATTTTTGGTAAGCCGTAGAACGCAGGAGTCGATCCGTTTCGGCAGATAAGACTAAGGTAGAGAGCCCGAAACTCCGGATATTTGTTGAAGACGGCGTAAAGCGCTTTGTTTAAGATTCCTTGAATTTTTGATGTCGGGTCTTTCGGTAGCATCATGTACGCTTTGGTGTTCAGAAGTGCGTGCACCTTCTCCTCATAGTCTGTACGGTCCATCACCACTGTGACATTCCCTTTGTCAGCTGGAAGAATTACGATGCTGTTGTCTTCCTTTAGCTTCCTGAGTGCGGACTTTTCTTCTGTGCTATAGTTAAAATGCCTCCTTTGGTTTACCTTTGAAAGTACGCCAATGGCTTTCAAGCGAGCTTCTTCGCGGATGCAAGGGTCTAGTTTGTGTAAACCCTCCTCAACGGAAGCTGCCATAAGTGCGAGAGGAGGATGAACAGTAGTGAAGTTAAACTTCTTTCCTTTCGCCAAAACCAGTGTCTCGGTTGGGGAGAGTACCTTCGAAGAGAAGTTTTTGACGAAACCCTTGTTCAAAGTTTGGGGGGTGTTGGGCCGACCTTGGAGAGAGACAAGCTTCTTCTCGTGTTCCAGTCCTTTCCTCAAGGTGGCCGAGGAAGCAGCAGACTTAGCAAAATCATTGATGGCCGGAAAAACCTCGGGCACACGGTGTTCAAGTTGCCTCCGTAAAAAGAAAAGATCAAGGTGTTTCCTTCGAAGTGTTTCGTGGAAAAAACAGGGAACCATTTATCCTTCCAAGTATACAGGAAAGCAACGGACACCGGTCGCTACCTAAACTTCTCGTCAGACCACCCTACGGCTCACAAATCCTCTGTAGTGTCGACGCTCTTTCGACGCGCCCTCACGGTCTGCTCAACAAAGAAGTCACTGAAGATGGAAGTCGATATTATAAAGCGAGACCTTCGGAAAAACAACTACCCTACGAGATTTGTCAACAAAATATACAAACAACTTCGTCACCCTCCTACATCCAAGAACAAAAACACCTCCAGCCGCATGTGTGTCCCGTACCTCCATGGCACGAGCGAGGTCCTTGCCCGCGTTTTGAGACCGTACGGTATTGCAGTTACGCATAAACCTGTCTCAACTCTGGGCCATTTTTTTCCTCTTCCAAAGGATCGTCCACCAAAAGATAAAGCTCAAGGCCTGATTTACCAAATTCCTTGTGCCGAATGCGACGCCTCTTAGGTGGGGGAAACGAAGAACTTTCCCGAACGTCTGCGTAGACATAAGTATGATGTTAAGAAGAATGACATCCAAGGCAGCGCGCTGGCGGAACATGCTCAGAAGACCAGCCACGCCATTGGCTTTGACAGCAGCTCCATCCTCGACACAGAAAGAAACTGGAGAAAGCGGCTCTTAATAGAATCTTGGCACATACAAAATACAAGCAACAACCTGAACCGATCCACCGGAACGCTTCCAAGCAGCTATATACACGGGCTAAAATGCGCCACACACAGGAACAGAAGAAGAAAACAAAGCTAAGAGAGAAGAGAAGAAAACGACGACCGGTTGCTACCCTTGGGCGCATATACAGTCACCCGTGAACAAGGAGCCGAGCTGGCTTCGAAACGTCGGGCACATTGAAGAAATTGGTTAGAGTCTACGTTGTACGTTTTCTTGTTACTTACCTAACCAGGCGGAGTTCCGCCGAAATGTTTACATTTAAGTCATTATGCGCTGACTACGGCCCTAATGTAGTCCAACTTGCTCCGTTTCCGTTTTCAAGACTCACCTCACATTCAACTAGACTTGTGAGGATCTTCACTTGATACCGAAGAGCCTACGCCTGAAGAGGTTAGTTCATTCGGCTGAGGGTCATCGTATCATCGACCAAGCCGAGCGTCGTCTACTAGACGCCAGAACACAAGAATGCCGCGAAACACTTCGAAGGAAACACCTTGATCTTTTCTTTTTACGGAGGCAACTTGAACACTGTGTGCCCGAGGTTTTTCCGGCCATCAATGATTTTGCTAAGTCTGCTGCTTCCTCGGCCACCTTGAGGAAAGGACTGGAACACGAGAAGAAGCTTGTCTCTCTCCAAGGTCGGCCCAACACCCCCCAAACTTTGAACAAGGGTTTCGTCAAAAACCTTTCTTCGAAGGTACTCTCCCCAACCGAGACACTGGTTTTGGCGAAAGGAAAGAAGTTTAACTTCACTACTGTTCATCCTCCTCTCGCACTTATGGCAGCTTCCGTTGAGGAGGGTTTACACAAACTAGACCCTTGCATCCGCGAAGAAGCTGGCTTGAAAGCCATCGGCGTACTTTCAAAGGTAAACCAAAGGAGGCATTTTAACTATAGCACAGAAGAAAAGTCCGCCCTCAGGAAGCTAAAGGAAGACAACAGCATCGTAATTCTTCCAGCTGACAAAGGGAATGTCACAGTGGTGATGGACCGTACAGACTATGAGGAGAAGGTGCACGCACTTCTGAACACCAAAGCGTACATGAAGCTACCGAAAGACCCGACATCAAAAATTCAAGGAATCTTAAACAAAGCGCTTTACGCCGTCTTCAACAAATATCCGGAGTTTCGGGCTCTCTACCTTAGTCTTATCTGCCGAAACGGATCGACTCCTGCGTTCTACGGCTTACCAAAAATACACAAGTGTGGCATTCCGCTTCGTCCCATAGTTGACTTTACAACGTCGCAATTACGAGCGCTGTCAAACTATCTTCATCGTCTGTTTCTTCCGCTCATGGGGAAGACCAACACACATGTCAAGAACACTGCCCACTTCATCGAACTCGCTTCGGACCTGCAGTTGAACGACGACGAGTGCCTTGTTTCATTTGATGTGGTATCTCTCTTCACGAGTATTCCCATTCGACTCGCGGTGTCTGTTGTCAGAACGGCACTCAAGGCCGACACGACTCTACCTGAAAGAACACACCTCTCGGTGAATGAGATATGTCGGCTACTAGAGCTGTGCCTGACAAATACCTACTTTTCTTTCGCTGGTCGCTACTACAAGCAAAGTAGTGGCACAGCCATGGGTGCCGCGGTGTCCCTCACTGTCGCCAACCTCACAATGGAAGCCATCGAGCAAAAAGCCTTAAGCACATTTTCTCCCACACCGACTCTGTTTCTACGTTACGTGGATGATTGCTTCTGTGTTGCCAAGTCCAGCGAAGTCGATCGCTTTCACAAACATCTCAATTCCATCCATCCAGACATTCAATTCACGGTTGAACAAGAGTCTAACGGGTGCCTTCCATTTCTGGATGTGGCAGTGGAAAAAACAGGGAACCATTTATCCTTCCAAGTATACAGGGAAGCAATGCACACCGGTCGCTACCTAAACTTCTCGTCAGACCACCCTACGACTCACAAATCCTCTGCAGTGTCGACGCTCTTTCGACGCGCCCTCACAGTCTGCTCAACAAAGAAGTCACTTAAGATGGAAGTCGATATTATAAAGCGAGACCTTCGGAAAAACAACTACCCTACGAGATTTGTCAACAAAATATACAAACAACTTCGTCACCCTCCTACATCCAAGAACAAAAACACCTCCAGCCGCATGTGTGTCCCGTACCTCCATGCCACGAGCGAGGTCCTTGCCCGCGTTTTGAGACCGTACGGCATTGCAGTTACGCATAAACCTGTCTCAACTCTGGGCCATTTTTTTCCTCTTCCAAAGGATCGTCCACCAAAAGAAAAAGCTCAAGGCCTGATTTACCAAATTCCTTGTGCCGAATGCGACGCCTCTTATGTGGGGGAAACGAAGAACTTTCCCGAACGTCTGCGTAGACATAAGTATGATGTTAAGAAGAATGACATCCAAGGCAGCGCGCTGGCGGAACATGCTCAGAAGACCGGCCACGCCATTGGCTTTGACAGCAGCTCCATCCTCGACACAGAAAAAAACTGGAGAAAGCGGCTCTTAATAGAATCTTGGCACATACAAAATACAAGCAACAACCTGAACCGATCCACCGGAACGCTTCCAAGCAGCTATATACACGGGCTAAAATGCGCCACACACAGGAACAGAAGAAGAAAACAAAGCTAAGAGAGAAGAGAAGAAAACGACGACCGGTTGCTACCCTTGGGCCCATATACAGTCACCCGTGAACAAGGAGCCGAGCTGGCTTCGAAACGTCGGGCACATTGAAGAAATTGGTTAGAGTCTACGTTGTACTTTTTCTTATTACTTACCTAACCAGGCGGAGTTCCGCCGAAATGTTTACATTTAAGATGCACACTTGGTTGCCGGACTGGAACTGGACGTCGTGGCAACAAAGATTGTACCGGCCATCGTCAGCAAGTTGTTCGGCTTGAATCAAAAATGCGGCCGATATGTAGGACTTCCTCCGCTCGTTAAGTGACAAACCGAGCGTCGTCGTCCTGTTCGTCAACGTGATCGACATCACACTTTTCGTCGGTGTCGTCATAGGGTTCGATATCAAAGTCGTCGTCGAGGTTGTAGTCGAGGTTGTCGTTGAAGTCATCGTCCGGGTCGTCCTTGCGTCGCTGTCAAAGTCGTCGTCAGGGTTTCCGTCAAAGTCCCAGTCGGGATCGTCATCGATGTCGTCGTTCGAGACGTCGCCTGTGTCATGGTGAGTGCCGTCGTAAGTGTCGTCGTCAAGGTCGAAGACACTGTTTGTCGTCGAGGCCGTAGTCGGTTGGTAGTTGACGTCGTAGCCAGGGTTTGCCTCTTGGTTCATAATCCGTTTCGTCATCAGTGTCGTCGTGAATGTCGTCATCATGTTATAGTCGAGGTCATAACTAGGGGCTTAGCCGAATCCATAGTCCGGGTTGTTTTCGAAGACGCCGCCTTCACGTTCGTCCTTTTCGGAGTTATCGTGTTCACAGGTGTCACGCGTCGGGGGCATAGATTTCGTTGCTCCGCACCTCCACCATAACGTCACAAATAAAACATAAACTTGATCAACAAAACTAAAAATCATCGTTTAATGCTGCCTAATCTAGAGAACTGCTGCTCTGAGCGCAACTCCAGCCGCTGGAAACAAGGGCGAAAATATTCTTAACCGCACTATTCAAATTGAAAGATCTCGCTAGTTACAACCATTATCGACAGGGTCCCGGCGCCTAAACTATACTAGAACGTTAAAACAATACAGGTTTATAAATGATTGTTTTAGATGTTCTTTCTTTACTCCCGCAATTCAGGATTGGAATGAGCTCCCAAACGATACTGTCACCTTAACACCTGTTGAAAATTTCATTACTGCTGCGGACATTTTAATTACTGCAGTTTATCCTTTTCCTGTTTCTATTTATCACTCTAATTTTTTTTTGTCGTATGGTGTACCCACTCCTACTAAGGGTCCTTAAGTGGAGCCACGAGAGCTTTCGAATAAATAAAAAAAATAATAATTCAGACAGCGATTCGGAATCAGACTCAACAACAAAAGCACTTGTTCACCATGAGTTCTTGTGAAATTTATTTGGCTGCAGGAGCTAACTCGCAGCATTGCAGCTTGCTAGACGAAATTCTCTGCTGTGAGGGAAGGATACACACTGCTGAACGGGCCAATAGAGCGGGTAATCGGCTAATCTACACTGCTCATACATTATACAAAAGACGTTATTTGCTGCGGAAATAATAACTCACTCGCTTGTGAACACGCCTCAAAAATGCTCGAAGCATGTGTGCTTCATACATATTAATCTATACCCCGTTAACACGAACACCCCGCTATGTCGAAGCTATCTTCAGGGACAAACTGGATAAAAAAAACATGAATTTTTGTCTCGTTATTGGGGAAACCTCACGTTATGGATGATTGTTTTGGGGCTAACGGAGCTTTTCATATTAACGAGACGTCACTGTTTTGGCTTCGAACACGTCGGCAGACATTCTTTTTTTGTGTCCAATAAATGACAGGACCGTAATACAAGAAAGACTCACGCTCCCGACAGCGTCTGCGGACCGCTTTTTCTATGATGTGTTGGCAGTGAGACCGCGGCTTTACGCAGACAAACGAAGTGCTGGAGGGGAGCAGACGAGAGCTCTCTTGGCTCTCTTTACACGACGCTACGTCAGAGCTTCCGCTGTTGCCAACGCAGCGGCCGTTGGTTTCGTACACGCAATCTGACCAGTTTGCCTTTGTTTAAAATTCAAAAGACCCTTTTCAATAACCAGTCCGTCTACCCTGTTCAAAGTCAAACCAAGTCTACCTAAAAGATTCCACCGCAAGAGGGACGCGTCTGTCGCATTGCGGCGAATTCTCGTTTAGCTTTAGCCTGTTTGCGGCTTGGGGAGAGTTGGGGATCTTCTGACGATGACGTCACGGGCAGGCCCTGTCTTTTAGGTGGTAGTGGTCAAACCAGACGCTCTCATGGCGGCATCTACGCAGCTTCTTCACAGCGGAAAAAGCCGACGTCTTCCAAAAGCGAAGAGCTGAAAGTGGGGAATTAATAGACCAATCTCACCGGGCACAATGACTGCGCCATCGCTGCCGCAATGCATCGAGGGAACTTTAGTCTTTCTGCACGTGCGGAAACTCCGATGGAGCTCTTCGCGTGTGGTGCACGAGACGGTACGAGCCCTCGCATGCACGGCCGCCAGGCCTCCTGTGAACAAAGGTTAGGGCGGCTGAACGCGCTGAACGCTTTGTGAGATGGTCTATAGGGAGTATTCACAGGACGCCATATTTGTGGGTGCTCTTTAGAGCGCATGCTCAGAGCGAACTCCCATGAATAGGCCGTTAAGACCGGCAATCTTGGTGGTGCGGAATGCACGCGGCGAAAGAACTGTGGAAGCTCGGCGTCAGCACGCGCTCAGCATTCGGGCACACAGCTATGGCCGCCAGTGAATACTCCTTATTCAAGCAAGGTGGTCGTTGACGCCGCCTTTGAATTCATGAGGTCGAGGGTCCGTGACACAGGCGAGATTGCTTCTTTATCACGACCATTACACCGTATTCACACTGGCTGTTGAACCGCGTTCGCAAAGCGGCTGCCAACGCGGTTGCTTAAGGATGCATTACAATTTCACGCTCGTGCCATGATGAAAGCGAGCGTATCAGCTTCGCGGTTGCGATTCGAACGCCACGGGTGAATGCAACCTTTAGATCGGTAGTATTGGAGCTGCTTAGATTGCCACTCGATGTCTTTGACTTTTAAGTGGGGTCAATTGCCTGTGCGGAGAAGGTTAAGAATAAATAAACAAAAAATCCACAGAAGTTTATTTTTAAAAGGCAATGACGCAAAAGTGTCATTGCTTTCTTAAAGACAAAATCTCACCAGCCAACCTCTTCCCCGAGCCTACAAAAAATAAACATTTTTTTTTTTTTATGCGGGTGCTGATTCGAATTATCCACGTGATATCCTCATGCTATATAGAGCGAAAGATACAGGAGAGGAGCAGTGGTCACGACTTACGAGAACCATCGTACCGTCGACAAAGATCTCAACATGTTCGTCGCATTCCTCTTCATACCTGCTGTGGCCGGGAACGTCTTTATGGAAGGCAGTATTCGGAATGTTCCGGAAATTACCGAAAGTCCACGTCGACAAAAACCTACACGATATTTGACCCCTGCAATACAAACAAACGTGAGACCACCTTTTCATCGATCCACGTAGACCGAACAATGTTCAGGGGGAATCATTAGGTCCTTGGCAGTGACACGCCCGGTACAATGTACACTAGGCGACACTATGGAGTTTTCGTAGGCCTTTTTCCTCCTGCCGCTAAGCTCTTCCGAACGAAGACGCTACTACTGCGCCTTGCATGGAAAATCTCGGGTCTCGTAGCGGGTTTGCGGAGAACCTTGCGGGACAGCGGAAAGGGTCCACCAAAACTCCCTACTTTTCGTGCAAAAGCAATATCTACAATTAATTTGCTTTTAGTTTCATTTCGAAAAGTTATTGCCGAGCTCGAAGTTTTACGTGCTAGGTTAGATTCCGAAGTGAGCACTTCCCACCATCATAATAGTCTTGTATTACATCTCCTAGGTTTTAAGAGAAATAGAGAAAAAACCGGGAATTGCTTTCTAGCGCTACGCGCATTGTGCCGTGGTGTACATACTGTATTGGCGACGTGCGCCATCGAAAGTGTCACTGTGGTCGACCTGCAGCGATTGGCCGAATGCTGACTATGACATCGGCAAAGGTTTTCTCATCGACAAAAATGAGAGTAGTCTACCAACTTCAATTTTGACGGTATCGGCAGTGTTGGTTTCAAAGCGCAATGATTTCAAGCTTCCACCATGCTCATTACAAACACCATCGAACTTGTTGTTCGCAAGGTAATGACGTCACGAGAGGGAACCATAGGAGGGCGCCACCAAAACACTTCGCCGCCAATAACGTCCACTATCCTTTTCAGAATATTTCAAGCTCGCCATTGTTTTTTTGTGTATCCAATGTACCTGTGCTTCCCTTCTAAAAGTGAATGAGCGCATACAGTGGCGTCACTAGTGTTGTGTCGCGCCGAAGCGCCAAAGAACAGACGCTCCCACGCAGAGCAGCAGCACACAAAGAACAAATTTAATATGGCGAAGACACATTTTACAGAGCAAAGACCAGCGCACCCTGGTGGTGAGAATAGGAACCTGTGACATTGCTTTATACATACACAACACTCCTCCACACTTACATAAAGGAACACTAGTACACCAGTCTATTTGGAGGGCGTCGAGCTCTGCTCGACCGTCGAACTTCCTGAGCAGCTAGGCCACTGCCAGCATTCAGTGGCATAGGCACCTCACATTCGCCCGGTTCATCAACACTCTCACTGTCACTCGATCCACTCTCTGAAGAGGCTGATCGGGACGAGCCCTCACTTCGAAAGCGCAAGTGATCAGCATGCACATAACGGATCTGGCTAGCCACCCGCACCAGGTATCTAACCGGACTGATTACTTTCTTTAAAATGCCTTTGGTCCAGTTTACTCTCTCCCCCCTCACATTTCTGACCCAAACTCTGTCGCCCACTTGAAAGAGTTTCGTTGGACCTCTGCGCTTGTCAGCCAGCTCCTTTTTCTTGTTTTGCTTCTCTCGTCGTGGAAGGGACGTTGCACCTGGCTTGAGCTGCGACAGTCGGGTCCGCGGAAGCCGTCCCAGGAAGAGCTCTGCAGGTGCCTTTCCAGTACTTGTGTGTGGTGTCGTCCGGTAGGCAAGTAGGAAACACGACAACTTCTCATGGATATTCCTTCTCTTCCCTTGGAGGTCGTCTTCAAGTACCTGCTTGAGCAGCGCTCGCTTGACTGTTTGCACAGCCTTCTCCGCGGCGCCATTCGAAGCCGGGTGGTAGGGTGGCGTCATGGTGTGCACCACTCCTTGATCCTTCAAGAAGTTCTTGAACTCCTCACTTCAAAACTGGGGGCCTCCATCAGTCACCACTTCTTCGGGTAGTCCAAACTGTGCGAAGACAGCCATAAGTTTCTCGACTGTCTGGGGTGCGGTTGTGGAAGACATGGGCAGTACCTCAACCCATTTAGAAAAACTGTCAACCAAAACAAACAGGTTGGTTCCCGACTTGGTTGCAAAGTCCAAATGAACACGTTCAAAGACCCGCGAGGTCATCTTCCATGGCTGGAGTGGTACTGGAAGAACGTCGTTTTGGACCGCTTGGCAGATCTCGCATGACTGCACCTTGTTCTCGATCATGGCATCGATTCCGGGCCACCACACATGCCCTCTCGCAAGTTGTTTCATACGCACCATTCCTGGATGTTCTTCATGCAGGCTCTTGAGGACCGCAGCCTGTAGTGCCTGTGGAATCACGACTCTA